AACAAGAAATTTTGTTGTTGTTTTTTTTTTTTTTTTTTTTTTTTTTTTTGTCGCGCTCCAGTGCACTCGCCATGGGCGGGGCCTATCCGCGCCATGGCCATCACAGTGCCGCTGGTCATCATGTCAGCCTTCGCCACGCTCTTCACCGTCATGTGCCGCAAGAAGCAGCAAGGTGAGAGAGAAAAAAACCCTAAAAACGTCTTGATCGGTTGCTTGTGGTGGTCATCGGAAATGTTGACTGGTGGACCGACGGCTCCCCGTTAGAAAACATCTACAGCCAGCTGGACGAGGAGAGCAGCGAATCGTCCAATCAGAGTGCGGCGTTGAGCGCCGAGAGGCCGCGGCCCCGCCCCAAAGTCTTTATCTGCTACTCCGACCGTGACGGCGCGAAGCACGCTGGAGTCATACAGAGCTTCGCATACTTCCTGCAGGACTTCTGCGGCTGCGAGGTGAGAAAACGGCGGCGCAGCCCGCCGGTGATGGAGTTCCGCCTGTCCTTCAAGTTTGTTCTCACCTGTCAATCATGTTGCCGGTCAGGTGGTGCTGGACCTGTGGGAGCATCTGGAGATGTGCAGGGAAGGTCAGATGTCGTGGCTCAGCCGGCAGCTGGACGAAGCCAACTTCATCATCACCGTCTGCTCCAAAGGACTTCGGTACTTCATCTCGACTGCATGGATGTTTTCGTATCAGCCTCGCTGGTGTCTGTGTTAAAGGCAATTTCATTTCTCTCAATGTGTACTTACCCTCCCCGCCACCAAGTGGTGCATACGCACTCCAGATGAAAATGCTTCCTGTCGCCTTCACTTTGCAGCCACCTGCCACCTCCGTGAGCATCTGCAGCCCTCGTCAAATCATTTGCTTCGCTTCTGTCCCCGCAGCTACTTTGTGGAGCGGAAGAGCCGCCGAGGAAAGACGCCGGTCGGACGCCGCTGCGTCAGCAGCAGCGCAGGCGACGCAGATTGTCCGTCGGGGAGGTCCGGCGGTGACCTGTTTGTGGTGGGCGTGGCCATGATCGCAGAGAAGTTGCGGCAGGCCAAGCGGCAGGAGAGCGAAGAGCGCGGCCCTGCGGGCGAGCTCCAACGCTTCATGGCCGTCTACTTCGACTATTCCACCGAGAACGACATTCCCACCATCCTCAGTTTGGCTACCAGGTACAGAAAAAAATACAAGGTCAGCAATGAAAGGCTTTACTCGTCCCAGAATGGGGAAACCTGCTCGTCTGCGACCCCTGCCAAGCAGGTTTTCATCAATGTCCGTCTGAAGGAGTTCAGATGCTCCTTGTAAGACACACACACACACACTTTTCACATTGTCATCGAGTGACTTTGTTTTGTTGTGTGTTTAGGTTCAAGCTGATGGACCAGTTGCCTCAGCTGTTCGCTCGCCTGCACTCGGGGCGCTCGGGTCTGGCCGAGGGCGACTCGCAGCCGCTCAACATCTCGCGCAGGAATTACTTCCGCAGCAAGTCGGGCCGCTCGCTCTACGTGGCCATCTGCAACATGCACCAGTACATCAGCCAAAACCCGGACTGGTTCCAAAAGCCCGCCGCTTCCTGCTCGCCGCTGCCCCTTCCCACCGCGTCTGTGTCAGCCCGGGACGACGAGGTGCCCACTTCATCCTCCCGGCCGGACGGCGGCCTGGTTCTGAACGAGGTGCTGGTGAAGACGCCCGAGAGTGGCGACAGGAGGCCCAAGAAGAACTCACTCTTGCTCGACCCCGCAGCCGCCATCTGCTATAAACTCAGCCCGAGTCCCAGTCCCGTTCCCAATCTTGCTCCCAGTCCTGCTCCCAGTCTTGATCCAGCCCTTCCTCGGAGCTCTTCATCCAGGCTGGAACACAATTCCAGGTAAATAGGAGCACAGAGAATTCTCTTCGCCCAGATTTAGATTTGTAAAGCACCGTCATGACAAATGGGTTGCCAATAGATGGCGGTATTGCGAGATCAGCACAGCTTTTGAGTAGAAGATCAAGATTAGGGGGTCTGTTTAATCTTTTCACGTCGATTGTGAGGGACAGAAATGCGAGTTTGTTGAAATTTGGACACGTTTAGGCAACTGCCAATGTTTTTTGTTTTGTTTTTTTTTTAATGTAAATGTTCGTGTACTATAAATAAACAATCACTTAAAACACCAGACATTTGTATTGGTTGAACACCGATTAATCAACCAGTAGATGAATCAGCTTTACTACACAGCTTTACTACTTCGCAACGGCATTTTTGAAATCTGCATCAAAATACGTTGAGGAACACATCAACCCATGTGTGATTCAAATTTGCTGTTGACCCGTGTTTTTTGCTCATGGTGGGCTTGTGTTTAAACAAATCTCACTGACATTATCAATGAATCGACTTGGACTCCACTTTCATCACGTTACTGTCCACTACAGAAAAAAAAAAAATTAAAAAATTCACTCCTGTGAGGTCACAGGTCTTACGTGCTACTCTGACTCTCATTTAGCACGTCCTCCCAAACCCCTTCGCCGTGCCTCCTCCGGGACGAGGACGAGGCTCCTTCTGCAGAAGCGTCAGGCAACCCCGAGCCACCGCCGCCGCCACCGCCGCCCCGCGACTCGGGCATCTACGAGTCCTCCGTGCCCTCCTCTGAGCTGTCCATCCCCTTGATGGACGGGCTGTCCCATGAGCACGCCGACTCCTCATCGCTGGCCGAGAGCGAGTCGTCATCGTCTGGCTTGGGTAAGCCCGCCAGTAGCACGTGAAAAACGCTGAAGTCTTGGCGCACTGACCACTTTTGCTTTTGTCGCATAGGAGACGAGGAGCCGCCGGGTGTCACGTCTCTGGGCTGCGGCGCCCCCACAGTCTGTAAAGCAGAACTGCACCACTCGGCGCGAAGTGCGGGACTGGAAACTGCGGCTTCGCTGTAGCGTCCTCTGCAATGGACGTTCTGGGATGTTGGTAACCGTGGTGACTTGTGTGAAGGACGACGCATTTGGAATATCCGGTGCAACAGGAACTTTTGCGAACCACTGCGTTTTTTTGTTTGTTTTGGGGATTTTTTTCTCCCCACTCTTGAAGTTTTGTCTTACCTGCGGACTGATGGGAATTTTCACTTGTTCCTGAAATTCTTCCATTCAGGTGAAACAGGATATTTGGCACACAGGCGTATTTTTCCCCCACCAAAAAAGTCGTTTGCGAGGAATACTGACTCGACAACAGTACCCAATGTTTGTCAATTTTTTTTTTTTTTTTTTGTAAATCAGAGTTTAAAGACCTCGTGTTCTGTTGTTAAGATTTGAATTGAAACTGGACACGAAAGTGAAAAAGGGAACACAGCATTTTCGTCTTGTATATAGCATTTTTTAAAACTTTTGTCAGAAATGTCTGTTGTAATTTTGTTTGGAGTTTTGTTTCTCTGCATTGTCGCGAGATGTACTGTTCTAGGGTACCTTAAATGTAGGAAATAAATGAAAAACATCTCGTGACACTAACCACGGCCATTTTGCTGAATTCTTCACCCATTGGAAATTACACTTAAAAACATTTTAAACTAATTCAATAAAAAAAAAAATGCGTGGGAAAATTAGTTTAAAAATGAAAAGACAATTCAAAGAACACTTTTTACAATTTTTCACTTGAATAAAATGTATTTTTGTTTAATTATTGAAAACAACAAAATTAAAAGTTATTAAATCATCTTATTCTATTTTTATACAAAATACAAATTCGAAAAGTAATTTTCTGCAATTGAAAATGGATGGTTAGATGGAAAACTCATTTAAAATAAGGGGAGTGTTTTAATTTTAATATTGATATAATAAAATTATTTTTACTGAATAAAAAAATGCTTGTTCCCTCATTTTGTACAATATAGATATTTTTTTTAAAAAAGGTTGGTATTAATTTTAATTCAATATTTTGCAATACTTAATTCTAAGAAAATATTGACATGATTTTCCGACATGCACTGTGTGCACGATCAGCAGTGCCGTCAAAATGATCAATGACCTCTCCGTTCCATTCGATAGCAAGGCGGGACTTCAACTGAAACCCAGAAAGTGGAGGAAAGTTTCCCAATGGAAGTGAAGCTCGTCTTTCTTGGAGTAGATGAGATGAGACGAAGCGAGAAGTTGGTCCTATCCCGAGGGGAAAAGTGGGGCAGACGGCCGGTGTGGAGACATTACATAGCGTTGTGGCTTCAAGGAACAGGAATCAAGCAAACATGCAGCCATAAGGTGCACCTTCACAATAAAAGCGAATTTTTAGGAATTTTGTTTTGAGATATATTTGTATTTTTCAAATTATTATACATTTTCACTTTAGTTTGTTATTTTTGGGGATATTTTAATCCAATTTCAGTTTTTTTCCTTTTTTTTTGTTTCAGCCCTCGGGCTTTTTTAATATTTTATATTGTTTCAACATTGTATATTTTTTATTAATTCGGGGGCGGTCGTTTTGATATATTTTAAAACTTTTTATTAATTTTTTTTTTGCTTAATCATATTATTCAGTATTTTCCCAAGTGGTATTTTTATATTTGTGGTATTTCTGCATGATTAGAAAATATAGTATTTTGGTATTTTTTGCTTAATCATATTATTCAGTATTTTCCCAACTGGTATTTTTATGTTTGTGGTATTTCTGCATGATTAGAAAAGATAGTATTTTGGTATTTTTTTGTGTTGTTCTGTCTGATAATTTAAAGATTTTTTTTCAGTTATATATTGTTGCAATGTTTTGCTATTCATCCATCCATTTTCTAATGCGCTTATCCTCACAAGGGCGGCGCGCGTGCTGTAGCCTATCCCCGCCTTCTTCGGGCAGTAGGCAAGGCACACGTAGATGAACGACCATTCGCGCTCACAATCACACCTAGGTACAATTTAGAGGTGTTCAATCAACCTACCCGGCATGTTTTTGGAATGTGGGAGGAAACCAGAGTACCCGAAGAAAAACCCACGCAGTCACGGGGAGAACATGCAAACTCCACACAGAAAGGAGCCGGAGCCTCTGCACCGCGAAGTGGACACGCTAACCACTTGACCGCCAGGCCGCCCCCATATGAGATCAAATTTGAAAAAGGTCGCAACCGGAATCGAACCCTGCACCTCCTGCTACCCACCACCGGACATGCTAACCAGTCACCCACCGTGCTCCCACTATTCATCTATTTTAAATTTGTTAATCGGATTCTTTCACTTTTATATATTTTTTCTAAATCAACTTTAATTCATTCATATTATTTTTGTTGAATATCTTTTTCTAGTATTTGTTGTATTTTCTAAAATGTTGCCTTTTTTTGGGGTAATCTAGTCTAATCATTCTCTGTGGACTTTATGATTGATGCATTGTTGTGAAGGCACGCCGAGCAAGAGCGCTGTCGTTATAGCTCTTATTTTGTTAACAGTAAAAATGTGTATGGGAAGCGTCCCCCGCTAGAAATCCCTTTCGCTTGACTTGAGCCATTCAGCTTCTTGACAGTTGAGTCACTTTTCATGCTTGTTCTTCTCCCAGCCCGGCGGACTTCTGGAACAAAACTTTGACCTCTGGATGCCATAAAAAACTTTTTTTCCATTTTTTTTTCATGTCTGCTGAGCGAGAAGACAAGCGCGACTGGAGCTTGTTGTGCTGTGTCTTGCTTCAGTTCTTGTTGTTGGATTCTTTTTTTTTGGTGGGGTGGGGTGACGTGAGGGGCGGTTTTGGAAGGCAAGTGAGCGAGGAGGGGCTGAGTGAGGTGTCGCGGGGGCTCCCATGCAGGCAGGTGATGGATGGCAGCCCCCCGCAAGGTGAGCGTACCCAGCCTTTACTTCACTCCAGTTGCCATTCAAGTTTCCGCTGTCGAAAAACAAAAACAAATCAAAGGAAACCACGAATTGCATTCATAATGTCGCCATAATCATTATATAATCAAGTAATTATACAAGTACTGGACTCATCAGTAATAGTTTGAATGCTATGGAAGTGATTCATTACTAAACCAAACAACTAAACCTTTTTTAATACTGTTTTTCACTGTGGTTCAGTCTGGTTTGTACTTTGTGTAGTTCCAAAATATTTCTTGCATTCATTTTATTGTTGTAATATTTTTTGGGACTGTCAATTGGTTTTTTTCTCAAATATTTTTATTTTAGTCCTTTTTCTATTTTGTTTGACTTGCTGTAAAAAATGGTGGCGTGTTTGTGGGGGCTGGAAGGGAGGAATTGCTTTTGAATTGATTTGAATGTGAAAATGGATTTGACATGTAAATGGAGTTGGCTTCTTGGTCACGGAATGAATTCAACTCATAAGTCAAGGTAACAGTGCTACAGTAACAGACATCAGAATGTTCCAAAAAGCAGAGGGGCAAGCGAGGAGTGGACATGAGTCAGGGGGAGAAAAAAAAAAAAGCATGAACAGCTGTGATTGGTCAGTGGGCGGAACCTGGAAAAAAAATGTTCAAGCCAAGCAGCCCATGCGGACATCTTCAGTTTTTTTATGGCGTGCACAGCTTGTCTGTATGTGTTGTTGACTCCAAGTTTTGGGCTGCATTCAAGTCAGCATTCAAACGAAAAAAAAAATTGTGGGAAAAGTGTGTGGCACTTTGTTGTTTTTAAATTTTTGCAAAATAATCGAGGACTTTTTAACTTCGCAAAAAGTCCTAAAGTTGTTTTATTTTTTAATTTAAAAAGAAAATTGTTCGCGGATTTTTGTCTACTTTGTTCATTTAGTTTTTTTTTTGGTTCTCTCTTTGTCTGATATTGAGATCTTGGCAGATTGGTATTTGTTTTGTCATTTTTTAATCATTATTGTTTTATGTTATGCTATCGTTAATTGACTGTTGCATGTACTTTATTCATGGGTGTTTTTTGGTCGTGCTTTTGTCTTTTTTTTAACTGATTTTATTAATTTTTGCCCTTTTTGTGGGGAGCGTCACCTTTTTTGCGAAATTTCCTACGATTTTTTTCCAAATCCATTTTGCTTTTTGTTTTGCCTTGATTTTTGTTGTGTTTGTGTTAGTTTTGCATGATGTTCTTATTTTCTGGGGTTTTTTTTTGTCAGCTTTTGTCCTACTTTTATGTTTTGTCGAATATTGCCAAACGTGCTTGCTTGTTTTTATGACTGTTTCGTGTGGGGTTATTTTGCTCTGTTTTTGTTCAATTTTTGCCGCTTTTCAGCAAATTTTAGTCATTCTTTTTTATCGTCCCATTGACCCCATTTTTCCCTTTTTTGTGGGTCATTTTTGTCAGAGAGCTCTGTCATTTGTTGTTAATTTGTCTCATTTTTGTCAGTTTTTTTGTCTGTTTTTGTTTTGTTTGTTTCTTTGTTTGTTTCTTTGTTTATTTGTTTCAGTTAGGCAGGGAGTGTCGCTGTGGCTTGGTAAGCTGCCTGGCAGACGGCGTTGGCCATTTGTGGCACATCATCAGACTGGCAGGTTACGGTTTAAAAGCAAACAGGAAGTGGTGAAAAGTGTCAAAGAGTTCTAAAGACGCTTGACAAGAACTCGAGCCGCAAGGCGAGGCTGACGCTGATCTTTGCAGGAATGCCGTCCGTCTGCCAGACGTTTGTTTGTTCACGTTATAACCGCCGTGTAAGAAGCGCCCCCCCCCGCCCCACCCCCCATAGCAGGTGCTTCTCTCGCATGTGCTCCGACTTTTAATGGACTGGTCGCCACCCAATGGCAGGGCAAATATGGACAAACAATGCACTGGTCGCCAGTCAGCGTCAGGGCACATTTTGGACAAACGAACGTCTGTCAGTTTGTTGACAGTTAATTAAAACAACTGAAATAACTGCAATAAAAATTGAAAATGTAACTACATGATTTAAAACAAATCTTAATTCAGTATTTTTATATTTCATACACATATATTTAGTAGTAGTAGTATTAGTAATAGTGTAGCGTGTCGTGTGTATGGGTTCCAAAACACTCTTCGTTTAAGGAAAAATACTCCAGGACTCGTACATCTTTTGGGGAACGAGCACGTTTAGTGCCCGTTTAATTTTCGCTACACAACATATAGCTACAGTTTCTCTCCTGACGTCATCACTCTGCAATACGTTCCTTTTTACGCTTACAGTAGTAGTAGTCGTAATATATGTATTTTGTTTTTGAATAATTTTTATTTCATGATATGAGCTTTGGGGGGTTCATTTCAAACTGATTTATTTCGGCGTTGCTGTACATCCGTAGCTACAGAAAATCTTGCACTCAACAAATACCCCACATATTCAAAAAAAATACAAAGGAATAAAAACTCACCTAAAACGAAGCATTTTTGGAAAAATAACATCTGAAAATAAAATAAAACTCAAATCCAAAACTATAATAACACCAATTGGTTCATGTAGAGTTGTAGACAAACAACGGCGTGGGAATGAGGTCAATCGTTTTAGAAGGTGAATGGTTACGAATTACGAAAGGACTTCATGCACTTACCATTGGAGGTCACCAGGTGGCGTGCTAGTTAAACCCTGACTCATCGTGAACTGTCAACTGGCTGAGAGACTTGGTGGCGATGGATCGATTGATCATCATTCCTTCATTTTTTTTCCCCGTGTGTCTCTTCAGGTGGAGGCCGCAAAAGAAGACGATGTCGTCCTCCTTACTCTCAGCTGACGGCTGCTCTTTTAGAGGGGTACATACACACACAGACACACACACACACACACACACACACACACACACACGCGCACACACACACACACGCGAACATGTATGAACAGAATACAAAGTGCCTTTTGTCCCTCATTGATTGTGTCCACTGGTCTAAATTTACTGTTAAGTGATTAATAACGTCATCACAGCCTCCTTCAGTTCCTTCTATTGTTTTTTTTTTTCAACCAGAGTGAGTCTACGGGTCTTAAACAATGAGCAAAAGCGAAGCATAGTTGCACAACAGCAGCACATGCCCTTGTAATCTCCCTCATGAGCAGCCTTTTGTTCTCATTTCATTTTGCATTCATTCCCATAGGAAGGAATGGAAAATCTTTTGAAAAAAATTATTGCAGGCTCAAAAGTGTCACGAACACAAAAACGCAATGGCTGATTTTTGAACCTTCTTTCCTGTCTTAAAAGTTTGAAAAAGTTAGGAAAGTGATGTCATCATGATGATGAGTCTTGTAATCATGAAGGCAGAAAAAATCTGCACATTTTCTGGGGCATTGTTGGCCATGATGCTACAATGCTACTTACTTTACCATCTGCTCGCTAACGATGTCATTGGTATTTCATTGTTTGATCATATTGTTCTGAGACAATTGCATTTCCTTTTCTGTGGTTATCATCACTGCTAGCTGTCTTAGGCACATAAAAAAAAAATACTACAAAATATTAGACAAAAAATGGAATGGTACTACTTTAGCTGGAAAAAGCTAATGCAAAATAATTGGTAAATTACAAAAATGTAGCCAAAAATATTAGGAGAAAAATACATTTTAAAAACATCGAAATATAAATTGTAGACAACAAATATAAGAATGTAACCGAGGAAATGAAGGAATATTATATGGAAAAACCAAACATGCCAGAATTTTTTTGTCATCATTATTTATCTATCGATCTTGCTGATTGCTGAGCACACCGGTGCCCTTTGTCCTCACGGCGCTCACTGACCTGAAGTCTGCCGGGATTTTCTGACATCACGCGTGATTTCAAATCAGCTTTTGGGCCGTTTATGGCTTGACGCTAAATGTCATGTCACGGAGGTCAACCTGGCTTCGGCATGAAGGTATTTCCGGAACGGCCTTGTTGTTGTCCCCCTTGCGCCGGGCTCTCCACATCTCCCGGAGCTCCTAATTTTAGCCTGTTTTTCCCCCGCGCCGCCGTCACTTCCTGTTTGTCCGACGGGGGCCGGCTGAGTGGTCGCGCACAATGCTGGAGGGTTCCTGTTCTTTGGCCAGCGCCCGGAGAGAAGGCCGCATCTCTTGTGGTCCAAGGACGGCTAATCTAGAAGGTGAAGAAGAAGAGGAAGAGGTGAAGCGTCGCGTGGCTGCATCCAATGTGATTGCCGCTGAATTGCGAATCGAGTGTCAGTTGTGAGGCGCCGATGATGGGCTGCTGTCTGTTGCTTTACTATCGGGTGAGTCAATGAGCATAAACATTTTAACTTGTTGCTATAGTTACCTGAATCAAGTGGCTGAGTTACCTAACTGATTCATTTTAAAAGAAACTTTGAATGCAACTTAGTGACTTGACTGATCTGAACTCAATTGACTGCCAGCCCAGTTCAAATGGATCTTTGACATTCGCAGTCGTCAAATGGCACTTGATTGAGTTTTCAAAGCAACGAGGGGTGCAGTGATGAACTGACAACCCACCGAGTTGAGTTTGCTAACTTGAATCCGTGTACTCAAACGGGATCTTCTGACTCCGCTGCGTGCTTCCTTTGAGTCTCGTCCCAATTGTTTGTTTTTTTTTCCACTGCCCACATAATCATCTGAGTCTGTGGTCACCAGATTCAACCGAATCATCACCGCCCGCTGCGTTTCCAACAAAGCCGTTCGCTGAAGTTCAGTGGCTTGGTTCAATTGAATCACCCGAATCTGCTGCGTTTCTCGAGAGTCCGCGTCTGGAGTCAGCGATCCGATTCAACTGAATCATCTGAGCCCCGAGTGTGTTTTTCGTAATTCTTCTCACGAGAGTCAATGGAGTGATTCCATCATTCATCTGAATCTGCAGTCCTTCTCGTGAGCCGACTAACTCGAGTTAGTCAACTGATGCAGATGAATCATCTCAGTCTGTTGTCATGAACCAACCAGTGAGTCCACTAACGTGAGGCGGCGAGCGAACTCAACCAAATCATCCGAGTGCCGTGTTTCTCCGTGAGTCCGCCCCCTCAAGTCGGTGAACCGATTCATCGGACTCACACGAAAATCGGAATCCGCCAGCATTTGCACGGGTGGCGAAAATGGAGCCCTCACTTTTGCCCTGACTGACAAAGAACACAGCAGTGCAAAGCTTCTTTTAACTTCTTGATTGTCCTTCAAGAAGCCAAGACAGTGAGTCAAAGGTAAACTTTGTCAGCTTACATAATGTCCAAAACAACAACGTCCACACACACACACACACACACACACACACACACACACACACACACACACACACACGTTGACACAAAACTTCCTGCCATTGTTCTGATCCACAAGATCTCTCCTCTGTCTTCTCTTCACCTCCTTCCCGTTTGTGTCCTTTCCTTGTGTCCTCTCCTCTTGTCCTCTCACACGCTGCCGTGTGTGTTTCATTGTGTGTTGTTGTCTTGGCAACCTGCAGGAAAACACGTCGCGCACTTCTCGGCAGATAAAGCCGTCCGTTTCCATGGTGCCGCGTGTGCTCAGACTGTTTTTTTTCTTTTTTTTTTTTTTTTTTACGTCTTAGCGACTCCTTCAGCTGAGTAGTTGCAGTTTGATTTAGCACTACTCGTACTAGTTGGGTCGCCGGGGCCTATCCCAGCTGTCATTGGGCAGTAGACGGGGTACACCTTGAACTGGTTGCCAGCTAATCGCAGGGCAAAAAATCAATCACGCCCATACTCACACTTCGGGACAATTTTAAGTGGTCCATGATATATATATATAAGCTACATTTTTGTTAATTTTAAATACACTCATTTCGGCCAATTAAATTGATTGATTAGTCAGTGGCTATTTGTAATGTGACTTTTTTTTTTTTTTTTTTTGTGGATTCCAGAAGAAGAGGAAGCAGGCCAGCAGAGATGCCGACTCGCTCAGCCTCTGCACTCTGGACATCAATGTAAGCTCTCACTTCAGTTCTTTGTCCTGGGCGAGCATCATGCTAACAAACAGTGGAGAAACGCCATAGACAAGCTAATGAAACTAGCGTCAATGTCACAATAGTTATAACACTTGAAGCAATAGTTGAAGACAAATGATGCCGCAACACATGTAGATAGACAATACTAAACAGTGAATACCAAAATTCCATGTATAGTTCATGCCCATTATTAGTACATCGAAATATCTTTATTATTCTTAAACTTGTACTCAATTTCCAGTAAATCAGTTCGTGAAATAAATGAATAAAACCCGATTTGAATGAACTCATTTTAGGGGATCAAATTACGAAAGAACTGCAACAACAACATATATATATATAGCATTCTTGAACTTGTACTCAATTTCCAGTAAATCAGTTCATGAAATAAATGAATAAAACCCTATTTGAATGAACTCATTTTAGGGGATCAAACTACGAAAGAACTGCAACAGCAACATTTTTTAAAAGAAATGTGCACTGGGTCGGATTAAAGAACATCAGGCCTCATGTTTTTGTTCAAACGTGACATGGATGCTCACTGATCGGAAGACTCAGGAGACCAGCCGACGCCAATTATGTCTGGCTTTGGTCGATGCAGTCAAGGTCATGTGACCTTGAGGACACACTCATACAATATCAACAATGCAGGCAGTCTTTTCTTTTGTCTGTGACTTTAATTTTAGTTTTAGGTTGACACCCTGGTGAGTTGGGGGACGGGGTGTGGGTGAGGGAGTGGGTGCTTTGGCGGCGGGTGGGCGTTTCGTCTTCATGTTCCCAAATGTGACGTGACATGCACGTGTGGGTATTTTTGTATTTTTAATGCGGCCGCCAGTTCCTTCCCGGGCGTTTCCCACTTTGCTGAAATCAGCACAGAAATTGGCCTCTTGGCAGGACTTCCCGGCTGGTGATACGAGGATACGACAAACAAAGTTTCACCGGGGATGCTTTAAGTGCACTATTTCACTTATACCAAAGCTCTGTACTTGTGAATAAATACAAGAAAGATTGAAGTCAGAGAAAATCTTTCTAAATAACAGTGCAGTTTGATTGGCAAACCTAACGGTGGTCGCATGGAGCTTTTTCTTTAAGTGTACGTCCCCTCCATCAGAAACGAATGCAGCCCCAACATACGCATTTATCCACGCCACAGCATCTCGGTGCCAAGGCGCTATGTAGAAGTGAGGGAAGGGGCTTCAATTCATCTCGTCATAACCTCATCTTAATACAACTGCAGTTTTGCCGCTATCTTGTGGCATCTATAGGCGATTATAGTAGAGGAGTCAAAAAAATTGTACTCACAAATACTACTCCTTGTGAATATTGTGACACAACTAAAAGTAAAAGTAGTCCTCCATATAAGTATTTCAGTGAGGGCAAGGGTCACTAGTGATTTTTTTTTTTTTTTTTTGTAAATCAGAGTTTAAAGACCTCGTGTTCTGTTGTTAAGATTTGAATTGAAACTGGACACGAAAGTGAAAAAGGGAACACAGCATTTTCGTCTTGTATATAGCATTTTTTAAAACTTTTGTCAGAAATGTCTGTTGTAATTTTGTTTGGAGTTTTGTTTCTCTGCATTGTCGCGAGATGTACTGTTCTAGGGTACCTTAAATGTAGGAAATAAATGAAAAACATCTCGTGACACTAACCACGGCCATTTTGCTGAATTCTTCACCCATTGGAAATTACACTGGTAAATACACTTAAAAACATTTTAAACTAATTCAATAAAAAAAAAAAATGCGTGGGAAAATTAGTTTAAAAATAAAAAGACAATTCAAAGAACACTTTTTACAATTTTTCACTTGAATAAAATGTATTTTTTGTTTAATTATTGAAAACAAAATTAAAAGGAATTAAATCATCATATTCTATTTTTATACAAAATACAAATTCGAAAAGTAATTTTCTGCAATTGAAAATGGATGGTTAGATGGAAAACTCATTTAAAATAAGGGGAGTGTTTTAATTTTAATATTGATATAATAAAATTATTTTTACTCAATAAAAAAATGCTTGTTCCCTCATTTTGTACAATATAGATATTTTTTTAAAAAAGGTTGGTATTAATTTTAATTCAATATTTTGCAATACTTAATTCTAAGAAAATATTGACATGATTTTCCGACATGCACTGTGTGCACGATCAGCAGTGCCGTCAAAATGATCAATGACCTCTCCGTTCCATTCGATAGCAAGGCGGGACTTCAACTGAAACCCAGAAAGTGGAGGAAAGTTTCCCAATGGAAGTGAAGCTCGTCTTTCTTGGAGTAGATGAGATGAGACGAAGCGAGAAGTTGGTCCTATCCCGAGGGGAAAAGTGGGGCAGACGGCCGGTGTGGAGACATTACATAGCGTTGTGGCTTCAAGGAACAGGAATCAAGCAAACATGCAGCCATAAGGTGCACCTTCACAATAAAAGCGAATTTTTAGGAATTTTGTTTTGAGATATATTTGTATTTTTCAAATTATTATACATTTTCACTTTAGTTTGTTATTTTTGGGGATATTTTAATCCAATTTCAGTTTTTTTCCTTTTTTTTTGTTTCAGCCCTCGGGCTTTTTTAATATTTTATATTGTTTCAACATTGTAT